TCAAAATTGCTTAAATCACCTTTCTTTCCCATTCTGACATTCAGTTTGGAGTTCAGGAGATTGTCTTGACCAGGACCACACCCCTAAATGCATTGAAGCAATTACATTAATGAGAAATTGAACAGGTGTTCCTAATAATCCTTTAGGTGAGTGTAATTGTAACGATCACCAGCTGGAGTACCCCTGAGAGTCACCAGAGGGCACTCCACATCAGACTGATCACTTCACAAAACTACAAATCCCATCATGCCTCTTACCTGGGACTGATTGCGCACACACCTGCATCTCATTCACACACACCTGCATCTCATTCACACACACACACACACACACACACACACACACACACACACACACACACACACACACACACACACACACACACACACACACACACACACACACACACACACACATATAAACCACTTCCACGCACCACACCACTGCGAAGTCTTGATTTGCCCTGGCTATCACTCCCGAGCGTTTATTCCTGTGGATTGTTTATTGCCTTTTACCTTGGACTGTGTACCCCGTGTTCTGATCGATCTCTGCCTACCCTGACCTGGATTTTTTACTGGACCTTGCCTCTCGCCGCCTGCCGCGACCATTGCCTGTTATCTGGTTTGTTCTCTGCCTATTCTCCATTGCCCTGTTTGCTGGTGTAGATCTTTGCCTGTTTGACGATTCTAATAAAAGCTGCAAATGGATCCCGTTGAGTCTGCTGGTTCATTACAGAAGACTTCGCCACTTCAGATCCAGCAGCCGAGAAAGAACTCACTTTGAATCCAGTAGTACGGATCTCGCCTGATCTACACAGCCTAGACCGGGAGTTCGCTGGATAGATCGCGGCCTTGGCCCTGGAAAGCCTTGATCTGATCCAGTACACGTGGGGGTTTGTTCCTCTTGCTGCCTCCTGCTCCCTGGATGACGAGGCAAATAAAGTATGTTACCAGCTGGGGGCTAAGGTGGTCAACCCGAGGGAACTCCCCGATCTCTCCGGTCTGGGCTGGAGAGAGGCGCTCTCCAGATGTCTGGAGAGCTTCATCCCGTGTCACGCCAGGCCTTCACCGCTGGTCCCTGTTCCGGTGGTCCCAGTTCCGGTGGTCCCGAGTCCGGTGGTCCGGAGACGGAGGAGGAGGAGAAGAATGGCCTCCTCAACGACGTGTCCGGTGGCTCCTCAGCCAGAGACCGTCCAGCCAGAGACCGTCCAGCCAGTGACCGTCCACGTCACGTCTGCACAGCCAGAGACTGTTCACGTCACCTCTGCCGAGCCAGAGACGCTTCACGTCACTTCTGCCGAGCCAGAAACGCTTCACGTCACTTCTGCCCTTCTGCCGAGCCAGAGACGCTTCATGTCACTTCTGCCGAGCCAGAGACGCTTCACGTCACTTCTGTCGAGCCAGAGATGCTTCACGTCACTTCTGCCGAGCCAGTGTCTACGGACAAGATGGCCGCCTCCGAGCCAGTGTCTACGGACAAGATGGCCGCCTCCGAGCCAGTGTCTACGGACAAGATGGCCGTCGTCACAGAGTCTGTTCCTGTTCCTGAGCCAGAGTCTGTTCCTGTTCCTGAGCCGGTGTCTGTTCCTGAGCCTGAGCCAGTGTCTGTTCCTGTGCCGGAGCCAGTGTCTGTTCCTGTGTCTGTGTCTGTTTCTGTTTCTGAGCAGGTATCAGTTCCGAGCCAGGGTCTGTTCCAGAGCAACTGATGTTCCTGGGTGGATGCCTTCTCCTGTTCCGTGGCCGCCCAAAGGGAGGTCTCCGCCATGGTCACCCAAAGGGACGTTTCCGCCCTGGCCACCTGAAGGATTGTCTCCGCCGTGGCCGCCCGATGGGTCTTCACCGCCGTGGCCGCCCGAGGGGTCTTCACTGCCATGGCCGCCCGAGGGGTCTTCACCGCCATGGCCGCCCGAGGGGTCTTCACCGTCGTGGCCGCCCGAGGGTTCTTCACCGCCGTGGTCGCCCGAAGGCGTCGTCTCCTCCCTGGCCGCCTATACTGCCTGCTCAGCTCTGGTCACCTGCACAGCCTGATCCGCCCTGGTCGTCTGCTCCACCCTGGTCTTCTGTTCCTCTTCTGCTCCACGGACCTGGCCCTCCATCCCGCCCCCAGATCCGCCTCCGCTCCACCTCCCACCTGGACAGTTATGTTTTTTTTAGCGTCTGGAAGCCGCTCTTTGCTGGTGTAGATCTTTGCCTGTTTGACGATTCTAATAAAAGCTGCAAATGGATCCCGTTGAGTCTGCTGGTTCATTACAGTAATATTACTGAAAAAAGCCACAGAGAGAGTACACTTTCATGACTGTTTCTTTACACACTTTTAATAAGTGAACTATAATAACGTCAAATTAAAAGATACACCTTTTTCACAAGGGTGTTCTGGGTTGTCGTAAGGGTTTTGCTATGTTGTGTGGTGTTGGACAAAAAAAATTGTCTCTATGACCTGTAGATTTGGCTAGGCTCCTACAATGTATTTCTATGGGATTTTTATCATGTCAATCATTTACCATTTAAAAACCTCTTATCGACCAACTGCATGATTTGAGGCACCATTCAAGTCTTTAGCACAAACTGTAATGTTTGGAAGTTTGTTCAAATCATTAAACGTAATTGTGAGCTATAGTAATGATTATTTTTTTCTTGAAAATATACATTTTCCTATCTCCATCAATGTGAGTGATCACGCTGAGAAGTCTCAGTATAAAACAAAACTCCAGTCCAGACATTGTTTATTGATGCAACTGCACATAGCATGAATTTATTCAAAATTGTACAGTTAAAATCACAAGTGAGACTGCCCTGATACATTTTGGCACATTCCTCTCTGAACTTTTAGTTTTGTTCCTTGTTTGCTTCTGGACAGTGTCTTTCAATTACATTACAACATCAATAGAGTCACATTATTTCCTGCAAAATTTAAATAACTTTTGTTTGCCCAGACCAAGTTTGCTTTGTATACAAAGACAATAAGTGTATTTTGCACACAAAAAAAAAACACATAAAAGGCTCAAAAGTTAGGAAAACAATTAATTAGTAAAGAGTTTAAATACTGAATAGCTCTCTAGTCCATGTGTCCTTTTTAAATATTTTATCTGTGGCTGAAAAAAAAACCATTTCGATGTAAATATACTTTCAATACCAACTCCTATAAACACATGCAGTGATATCAGTGGCGGTTCTAGCCCATTTCAACTGGGGGGGCCAAGCTGGGGCCAGTTGTACTGTTAGAGGGGCCAGTTACATTTAGACCTTATTGTTGTCATATCATTTTCTGCACTGCTGCAGGCATTAACAGGCAAAATACCGTGTTTATAATCATTCAACAATGTATTTGCATTTCCATTATATTTTTACATTTGCATTACATATTCAGTATTAGTCACAGTAACTGTAATAGACATGATGTCCTTCTTTCTCTTCATTTTGAGAACTATAGAGCAAAAGCAATGGGGACCAAGAAGCTTATTAATTAATTTACTGAAAATGACTGACTTGATATGTCTAACCGTTTACAGGGTTCCTGCACACTTTTTAAAGTCCAATTTAAGGCTTTTTAAGACCTAAAGAAATCAAAATTAATACCGTACATTAGGGGTGTGCAATATTGACAAAAATATATTTCAATATTTTCAACATTTTGTTAATAATTAGATAATATTTTACTGATTGTGTTTTTGTGCTGGTGCCATGGCTGATTTAGGCCTGTTGTTGACAGCTGACTCACGAAGATATTAATATTTTTCATATTCTATGCAGTGGTCAGTTCACAGCAGTGACAGAAATACATTTTTTAATTAAGAGGCAATATTTGCCACCTTAAATTGATTTCCAGGGGCATTTTCACCTATATATGGACATTTTTTCTAAACTTATTTAGAGTTATGCATCACCTTTTATGTCAAATACTAACATTCAAATTATACAGTAATTATACTTATTTATACAATAATACTTAATTATGCAATAATTATACAGTACCACTGTTACCAGTCAAATTAATTAATTCAATCAAAATCCATCTTTGCAGTGCAGAGGTGACACAGAAGTGGCATTAATATATTTACACTCCATTTACATTTGCATAAATAAAGCTATGAGATTTTTTTTAAATCAATATTTAAAAATGCAATTATTTCTAATTTTAACGTTTTAATTAAAGGATACTTTAAATATGAAACTAAAACCGCCAGTAGGCGGCGGCAAGTCCCTGTAAGAGGGATTCATTCATTCAAACGATTTGTTCAAACGGCTGATTTATTCGGGAAAGAAGCGAGTGATTCGTTCAAAACGCGGATTTCAGTCAATAAATCATCGCTGTGTTGCATTGAGACTCACTACGGTTTCATTATGAAATTCTAGTCGGCGAAATAAAGGGAAAACAAACAATATTGACAATATTGTGTCTAAAAAGTAACTCCCAATGTTAACTTATTGTTAATTTAACTGTTGTATAACATAAATATCACAGTTGCAATTGTGCACGGGAAAACGGCACTCTTGCTGATGCGATATTCTAATATAAGAACATAATATAATATAAATATAAGACAAAAATAATTTGGGGACATATAGCCTACCTATGAACTGCACATAGCAGTGAAAGGACGATAGACAAATGCTATGTCAGCTCACAGTGCCTCGTACATAGTTAAAACAATGATTACAATATCATAATAGACAATACACATCGCACACCCCATACGCACATAAAGAATGAACTTACAACTGAACTGACATTTACCAACTTTCTTCTTCTCTCCTCTCTCGCGTGCAGGAGACAGGCGTTATTCTGCCGCGATTCCCGCGAATGTGATGCGAATTGTCACGTGAAAATGCAAATCCACAAAGATAGAAAAATAAAAAATAATACGCATACGATAGCAAAAAAACTGTTTTGTAAAAATTATTTCAAACTCCACATTTAGGGGGGCCACAAGGGGGGCCAAGCTTTTTGTCACAGGGGCACGGGCCCCCCTGGCCCCCCCTCTAGAACCGCCACTGAGTGATATTATTCCAACCATCTAAAAGGCGTTACTTCATAATCTGTATTTCATTCACTTTTTTTAAGTTGGGTGTCAGAAGTTCAATGTTTCTGTTGCAGTTTTTTAGGGACCATTCTCTGTGATGAGACCAACATCCAAAGCCTGTTTCCTTTTGGGTTATCCATATCCAAATCACAGACAGTATGGTGAAATCTCGTGGCTTAATCCAACAGCTTTCTTACCAGCAGACATGGTTTGTACTTCCAAGAAGGACCATCTGTGTCCATCTAGAACATGATGCACATGGAGGAACTTGGCAGATGGCAGAGGACGATGTGAACACTTTCTCCATTCCAGAAGCTTGCAACCCAGTGTTTTGCTAGCCTTGCTGGTCTTTGAACTAACTCAACCTGCTCATTTTCTGTCAGAGAACCACGCTAGCGGTGGCACAGTTGTTTGCAGGAATCCCGATGCCAATCCGTCTATGACAGGTAAACATCTTCCGCAATTCTGCCCTGAAACGGTCATGCAGCCATGCGTATAAAAATGGGTTACAACAAGATGAACTCATTCCACACAAGTGACACAACAGCTGGATCAACAGGAAGTAGCGCTTGTCGATCAAGTCTATATCAATATCCCGAAGAACATTGAAGACGCTTATTGGCAGCCAGCAGATCCCAAAAGCAGCGACGACCAAGGACACCAGGCGAAACGTCTTGCGCTTCCGAGCCTGCTGGGCTTCCGCTTGGCTCTGGGTACGATGACCCGGCACCACACAATTGCGAAGCTTCACTGAAATGCACAAGTAGGAGATGCAAAGAGCGGACAGTGGAAGAACGTAGGTGATGAAGAGCGTGCTGTAAGCGTAGGCTAGTCGCTCCCTCCCCTGACCCATCCAGAACTCCTCGCAGATGGTGAAACCTTCATCCTTGAACTCCACGTGGTATGTGTGGGCCACAGCAGGAGCTACCAGACCACATGAAAGAAGCCAGATCCCAGAGAGAAGGTACGTGCAGGCCAGAACTGATATGCGCTTCTTCAGTGGATGAACTGTAGCGTAGTATCTGGAAGTTAAAATGACAGTTTAAGGCAATGAGTTATGGCAGTGTTCTCACATCTGAATCTCATGCAACAGTTCAACACTTCTTCTATCATGAGCACATTTTTTAATTTTGGATTCCACCCCAAAATTTTCTCATCACTTACTCACCCTCATGCCGTCCCAGATGTGGATAAACTACAGACCTGCGCAGAACTGATTTTTCAGTTACGTGTAGCCTAGCATAATCATCCCAGCATAAAGGCTTAGGATAAATTATTTGTAATTAAACCATCTACATTCACAAACCACTGTTAATTGTAACAGAAAAGCAAGCACAGGCTACTGAATTATCACAGACTGTTTAACTTTTCATAGCAGTTTTTAATGTTTTCATTAAACTTGCAGTGTGTAGTCATCCATGATCAATCTACGTTGATTACAGTTCGTTATGCTCTTCCTTTTTAGCGTGCGATGCTTTTAAACTGGGTCTTTTATTAGTGTTTGCTTAGGTCTATTTTTATTACACACCAAAAAATCTGATTTTCTCGATTAACAAAATAATCTTTAGTGACAGCCCTAGATAATATGACTATTTACAAACGAACGCTCCAGGGCAGCACTTACAGGCTCTTCTGGTACCCTGAAAAAAGAGCTGTTCAGATTACGGCTTTATTCAACTTGAGCTGAAAATCACCAAAATGGCTGCCTGGGGGGGTTGAAACCGTGTGGACTTTTAGAAAATCAACTCTCATAAATCTTAACACTTTGCACATTCTCATTGTCTAACAAGGTCCCACTGTGGATATTCATTACATGACAATTTGTCATTTATGTCTTTATTTTTTTTTAAATAATAATAACAATTCGTTACATATAGCACTTTTCTGGGTACTCAAAGGGCTTTACATGGAAGGGGGATTCTCCTCAACCACCACCAATGTGCAGCATCCACCTGGATGATGCGACGACAGCCATATTGCGCCAGAACGCCCACCACACACCAGCTTACTGGTGGAGAGGAGACAGTGATGAAGCCAATCAGTATATGGGGATGATTAGGAGGCCATGATGGACAGAGGCCAAGGGGCAAATTTGGACAGGATGCCGGGATGCCCCTACTCTTTTTCGAAGGAATTCCTTTCCAGCACATCTTAATGAATTGTGCTTAAAATGCTTGATTATTTCACTCTATTATCATACTTTTAAATATTTAAATATTAAATGTATTTGTATGATGGATTGTCATGCAGTAGTTTAAGACTCAAGGTATGGGTCTTTGACAAGGGCACATTATAAAGTCATTTAAAAAGCAGGAAATGAAGGCATGGTGAAAATCTTTCCAAGACATTTTTATTTTGAACTGCATAAAATAAAAATAAAAAGTTGTGTTAAAAAAACCCTGCTAAAATCAACACCCGAGATATGAAAGAATGAACTTAAAAGAAACGCTTAATTATTTGACGAACTTTCAATCTTGAACACATCATGATAATTTACAGATTCCAGTCATCATATGATTGCCTATGCTCTATTTGAACTGAACCACATGTGGCTGTGGCAGTAGATTTAAATTTCTCCGAGGCTAGATTTCAAATGGTTGATTTTATCTGCATAATTGCAGTGCAACACACTCTTACCAGCACCACGACACATACTTTGCCTTTGTGAAAAGAATGCAAATAAAAACCATACAATTCAGATCTTATTACAATGAAAAACTCCTGTTGTTATGACATTTTTATTGAAAAAATAAAATGAGTTCTTAAAAAGGCAGAATCAAACTTGCATCAGTCGTGTCACAAGTTAGCACCACCTGCTTACTGATTCTGCTATGAGTTGTCATGTAACATCTATTACTGAGATGTTAACTTTGTCTAGCTCAATCAAACAATAATTAGTGGAGTTAGTATAAATAGCCTCTGCCAACAAGGCAGGCTATTTGCACTTAGTGTAAATAGACACTACGTCTGCATCCGAAATCGCATACTTCCCTACTATATAGTAGGCGAAAAACAGTATGTGACAATAGAAGTATGTCTGAATTCACAATACTCATTAAAGAGTAATCAAAAAGTACTCTGATTACCTACTATTTCATAAGTGTGCATACAATGGACACTACTATCCCATAAGGCCACTGGAGATGATTTGTGAATGCCAGTGAAGCAAGGCAACTGATGCTGATAGGTCACATGATAATATCAACATGGCATATCATGATAATGATAACAAGGACAAAGCCTTCATTTCAGAAGTGAGTGTAATCATTTTTTTCTGACTTTTAATCAATTGGCAGGGTTTAATTTTTCTTGTCTCTTGCTTTTAACTGGCTAAGACATCAAATACACTGCTGAACAATAACCAGTAATTTATGTTCTATGATTATAATATTTCATATATTTTCCTAATGACAATTTAAAGGTGGAGTAAGTCGTTTTTGAAATATGCTGTTGGCCAATGTTGATGTTTGAAATCATCCCAAACAAACACACCCCTTCTTCATTGCTCCGCCTCCAAAACTCACACTCCATGTCACAGTGTCTGGTTGTGTTCCCTTGTCTATCACTAGAGGTCCTCGTTCTCACGGTGTCCTTCACATTTGACTTCAATTCCCAGCATTCTGTCTGTCACTGTCACTCATCAGTTCATTGCACTCAGCTGTTCCCCGTAATCATTGTTCCCAGCTGTTCTGTGTTAGTCTTGTTAGATATGTGTATATTTTCCCTGTCTGTGTTAGTCGTTACTTTATGTCCTCACACTTCTGTGTCCTTCCTTTGCCTGAGTCTTGTTTGCGTTTTATGTTTGGACTGCCTTTGTGGATATTGAACCTTGCCTGGACTGGATGACTACGAGTTTGGATTGCCCTTTAAATAAAAGACTGCTGCGTTTGGATCTTCTGTCCCCCGTGTGTGTTCGTGACAGAACGACTCCGACAACTCAGATCCAGCGGTATGTTTTTTAATATCTCTTCCCCAGCCACCGAGCGGGAGAGAAGGGAGTTTTTTAAGGGGACCCGGTTGGTCAAGTTTCGCGGGACCCGTGAAGGACACCGTGAGAACGAGGACCTCTAGAGACAAGGGAACACAACCAGATACTGTGACACTCCAATCCTAACAGCCCTGCTCCTGAGTCGGTCTCGAACCCCGATCACGGGTCCTAAAGCTCTTGCCCAGACATTAACCCTTTATTTTCCAGTGATTTCTTCTGAGCTTTTCTTGTTTGTATTGCGTCTCATCTCTATTTTTGCAGTCTTTCTTCAGTTCAAATCTCCCTCTTGCTCGTTCTCTCTCCTCCACAGTCATATGCCTACTGCTACTGCTGATTGGCTACACGCTTGTTGTGTCGGCCCGACTAACTTCCAAACAGCATATTTCAAAACGACTTACCCCACCTTTTAATGATTAGTTTATGTAATGCAAACATTTGTGCATTAAGTCATCATGGATTTTATATACTGTAAAAAGAAACTTGATGGGGCTTATTATCACAGAATAAGGCAGAAACTGACTGGAGTAGTGGCTGTTGGAAATTCAGCTTCCTTCACAGGAAAAATTGCATTTTAAAATATTATAAAATAGAAGTTATTTTTTAAATTGTAATATAACATTTCACAATATTAGTGTACTGTATTTTGATTAAGTAAATGCGGTGAGAAAAAGAGATGTTTTTTAAAACATTTAACATTTTTTTTAACTTTGAACAGTATAGTTTATGCGATTAATCAACCGAATCAGTCAGTTACATAAACATGCACTGAAAAGCCCCAGAATGCTAGTTGACATTGATGCAATGATGAATTAGTCACACTGTCAAGAGACACAACACTCAGATGCAATGCTCACCTGTCCACTCCAATGGCTGTCAATGTGAATACTGACACATACACCGTCACAGGCTGAATGAGGAACACCAGGTAGCACATGAATCTTCCAAAAACCCACCCGCGAGGATTAAAAGCATATGCCAGGGTAAAGGGCACACAGGTGGCACACATCAGCATGTCGGAAAATGCAAGGTTACCGATGAAGAAGTTGGTGACGTTGTGCATTTTTTTGGTGTGGCAGATGACGTAAAGCAGCAGATAGTTCCCGAAAACTCCCACCAGGACCACAAGAGCATAGCACGGGATGATGAGAGGTTTAAAAGACTGAAGGAGCTCCACGCCAACAAACTGCGGATTGCGCTTAGTCGTGTTCATCGACTGCAGCACGACTTCGTAGATTTGACCCATGCTGGAATTTTCCATTGTGACGTTTTCCAAGCAAGACGAGGGCACGGGAGTGCTAAGGCATTCACCACCACTGCCATCCATCCTGGAATACTGCTTTCAGAGACCTGAAGGGTGGGGTTTTTGGAATATTAATAAGGAAAGAGATACATTTTGGTTAGCTTTCTTCAGAAATCAACTCTTAAGCTAATATTCAAACCAGTAACAGATGGGCTGAAATGGCCGTGAAGAGGAACTGTGCCACTTGAGTAGGCCTATGTCCTGTGGGGGCGTGTGGTGCCAAACATATAGGTGCTAGTTTGTCATGAAAGTTTGGTTGGCTCATATAACGAAGTATTATAAAGTTTTTCAAACTTTAATGAGCACTGAAAGTTCCTGTTCTCAACGCCGAACCATTTTCCGAATAGAAAGAGATGCAGAAGTCACTCCCAAAAGCCCTTCAACACAACCTTGAATTTCTTCGGAAGTCAGGTTACTCATACAAATTAATCAGCGGGACTCAAAATTAATCTTGTCAGTCCAAAGAGTAGTAAATAGAAACTCCTAAAGGCACTAATGAAAGCCAGCATGATTTGAGCTTGATATCTATATTATGATTAAATGGGCAGGCTGTGAGGTGTGTGTTTTTCTCAGCCTCCAGCATACCCCAAAAAACAACAACAAAAACATTCAAACCTAATTGTGGCGAGCAATGCAGCACAAAACAGTTCCTCTAAAACATTACTATCATCATGTTCCTAATTATGCAGACAGAAAATGTCAAAATTCCATTAAACTCTGTCACCAAGAAGCTGTTCTCTTCAAGGTTGTTAGGTGCTCTTTTGAGGGATATGCAGGCTATGAAACAATAAATCCAAGGTCCTATTAAAATCTTTATTAAAATAGGGATATCACATTAAAAATCACTACTGAGAGCTTCCCATCTGGGTGTGAAGCCTTCATTTTCTAGTGGTAGCGGGTCATTGTGACTTTTATTGTTATAGCCCTATACTATTATGCCCTTTTACACAGTCTTGATTTTTTTGGGGGTGGACTAGAATGTTTTCATGCTTGATTGTTCAAAAAAACGCATTATTTTTCCCATATTTTACATTATAACAGCACTTCTCTCTCCAGTCTGGCTCCAACACGCTGATTTCTTTGAAGCCCCTCCTTCCGAAATACGAAATGTGCTGTGATTGGTTAGCTGGCCCAGTGTGTTGTGATTGGCAGCACGTGTTTGGGAAATGTCCTGTCCCTCCATCACTGCGAGTTCTTCTCTTGTGTAAATATTAAGAATGTTGTCAATTTCAAACCATTTCGAGCCGATTTAGACCCTGACAATGTTAATAAATTTTAACCGCTCTAATTTCGTCAGCCTCAGTGGAACATTGTGGAAAAAACAGCATCTCTTTGACTTAGTGACACCACTGTCTTCTCTAATGCAGCTCAATGCAGGCCTCGTCCTCTTTTTTTGCATATTCTGTGGGCGGGGATTATTTGAATGAGTAACATTATGACTTCATAAAGCCCGGAAAAGACGCGTTGTAGTCCAAAACGAGTCGTTCAATGTAGTTCTTGAAAAGGGATCAATTGTAGATTCTGTTAAATAAGATATCTCCATTTAGAGTGTACTTTGAGCTTTGTAACCTTGCAGATCTTTTTTTATGCTCAAACAGCAACATTACAGACCAACTAAAGTTAAAAAAGTGGAAAATCATAAAATGACCCATTTAAATATTACACCTCATGTGAGTGCCTTTTTCATTTCAAATCACAATTCAGAAAACAAAATAACAAATCCAAACACAAAACAACTATATAAAGGCAATGGAAAGACTAACAAATTAACAAATCAGAATACACAACAACAAATCTGAAAACAAAATAGCAAGTCAGAAAACACAACAAAAAGTCAGCCAAAACGGAAATGCTAGGTATATGTGGCGAATGCAATACTGACCGCTGATTGGACGAGACATCTGTAAATCAAGACTTGCATAAAGTACAGCAGACTGCGGCAGGAGAAAGTCGATTTGCGTGTGCATGTGTAAATATAGACCAATTTCCAGCCGACGTCACAGTTGCGTCACGGCGCTAGCTGGTGGCAGAACAAAGGGAAAACTGGAGGCGGCAAATACAAACCAGCACAGATTCGGCTACAAAATAAGGATCTTAAATTATTCTTCGTATTATTAAATGTCATCTTGTTGTGTTGTTGGGTGCAAGAATCAATGAAAAATTAATATGCTTTATCTGCAACTTTTTATTTCTAGAAAATATTCACCTCATTAAAATTGCACCGTAATGTCACTCTTTACATTGTCGTCTTCATGGTGCTGGCTAGGCAGAACTGCGGATCGTACCACACAACTTGTACATGACCATTCAGCACATAGTTATAGGCATCTAAAGATTTATATGCCCTCCGTTTCTCTATCAGGTAGGTGTAGAAGTCAGGACACTCAACCGGAGGTAGCGTTAACGTTAATCCTGTCAGATCGTCCAGCGTGTAGGCTACAGTACGGGTCGGCCAATCTGGTTCTGTCCGTTAAAATTAACTTTTGCAAATAACAATCGCGGTCCTGGACAGTGAGTGGCCTTGCACATTAAGATAAAATCGGATTTTCTCCAGTCATTGTTAAAAACAAGCTAACAAAACTTGCAGACTTTACGTTAGTGAAGCGGCCAGAGGGATCGTTCTGCCACCACCTAAGCTCCGCCCACATAAAAACGTCACCTTGTTTACCAACTGAAAATTGGTCTATTAGAGCTGTCTATTTAACCGGCTAATTTAGTGTGATTTATTATGGAGATTTAAAAAACAAAAAAAAATTTAAAATCTTCCTACCACTAGGCTATCTGGTTTGGTCAGACAAAATAAAAAAATGGTCTGGTAAAGGGAGAGAGTGGCGTGTAGAGCAAGAACAGCAGATTTAGCTTTTGACGCAAACGAGTTCGAGTCTCCCTTTTCCAGATCCTTTTTTTCCTCCCTATACTCATCTCTTATCAGTTCGGAGAGGCATTTAATTTTAAATAAACATGAAGAAAATGTTTAAAAAAATTTTTCTTCCGCCGAGATTCTGAAGTGCGCATTCGATGGACACTTTACTATCCCATGAGCCGGGAGAGGATTTATGAATGGCAGTAAAATGATGCAACTAACGCCGTAGGTCACATGACAGTGACAACACGACGGATGTAGTATGTCCGAAATGCGTACACACATTCATACTATATATAACATACTATAACGGTCACATGTATGTTTCAAATCAAATGTTGTATACAGTAGGCCTATGCGATTTTGGATGTCAAACGTTATCCTCTAATTGGATGGAATCAGAGTCTAAAAGCTAAAAAAAAAATCATGTGCCCATCATATACTACACGATTTCTACATGAAGTCTACCAACTCTGACTGCCCAAAATCTGCAGGCTGGCAACGACTTTCAGCAACTGTAACTTTTCGGCGTCTGTAAATCGGGGCAATTTAAAAAAATAAAATAAAGAAGCTATATAATTTAAACCCTTGTTATGAACGCCACCGGTAGCCATTAAGTGAACTGCAGCCAACAACCTATTTCTCAAAGGAGACTGACTGCAATTCAATAAATCAAAAAAGTTATTTTTCCTAAGTGAAGTTGCCATGGCTACTAAACAAATTGGATAGCAACAAATCTGAGCTAGGAATCACAGACACAGTCTTGCCAGTCTGATCTTGGTCAGAGGGTGTAGGGTTTGCTAATACCTCTTAAGTCGGTTGCCTACTGCTCACTCATTCAAAAGGATGTTTTGGTCATAGAGCCTCTGGGAAAAAGTTGTTTAAATATTCAAGCCTTAAGGTGTTTCCAAACACACAGGAGGACAGTGCCGTGGATATTGGCAGAACCCATTCCTACACATCAGGGCATCAGCTGGATTTTCCTGGGAATTCATGACTTGAATCTTATATCTGTCATGTTTTGAGTTTGTTTGTTGATGTTTACAGTTTGTTTGTGATCTGTTTTTCTGTACTGTTCATGTCTGACTGAGGGTACGTTTACACGACTAAATGCGTAAAATGGAGCATTTTTTCCTTTGAGTTTTCCACGTACAGACGACACCATTGTCAAAACGATCCCCATTCACACTGATCCGCGAAACCGAATAAAAATGCTGTATTCTGCTGCCAGGCCTTTAGATGGCGATGAAACATATATAGACTGAACACGTACAGTAATACGCATGTACATGACGTCATCATCTCCAGAGATTCATATTTTTATTGTTTAAATGGAGACCGTTTTCAAAAACTTGCACGTTGAAACCCGTTTTCAAAACTTTGCATTTTCAGGCACCCAAAATATTCGTCGAGAAAGTCTTTAAGATACAGCGTGACAATATCAAGCACTCACTGTGCTTCTGGTGTACACTGAAATGTACAAGACATATGTAAAATAAGCTACAGTAAAAAATTAGAAGGTGATATGGTTTGAAAATATGTGAGGAAAAGGATTTTGACAGATTTTCCAGTTTTATGTGAACCATCCCTTTAAGCTCTATAAACACAGCCCTGATGAAGTCTTTCCTAAGTGACACATTTACCCTGAAATATAAATTAAACACATGAGTGGGCAATGATCAAATATATGACAGCATGCATTGTTCATGCAACAATTCCCCTCCACGAAACAACAATCTTTTCGTTTGAAATGCAAATTAAATTGATCAATTGATCTAGTGTCAGAAAAGACCTTCTCAAAGCCTTTGACATCTTTTGCCTAGCTTAACACATTCAGTTCCATTTCAACAGTATGCGTTGTGAATCAGTCGCACAGAATTGCCTTAGAAGGAGGGAGATTAAAATCAATCAGATATTTTGTTAACCAAAGCAGTGAAGTAAATCATAGATTTTACAATATGTTCACTTTTCTAAACAAAAAGACATGTTTGCTACACGGATTTTTATCAGATGAACAAAAACAAAAAACTATTTAATGCCATTATTTACTGACACAAAAAGTCTAAATCATGTGTTTAAGATTATGCAGTCTGTGATGTTCAGTGTTGGACAGTAATGCATTATAGCAACGCGTTACAGTAATAATTTTATATTCCCCAGTAAGGGGTAGTATAACAAATCAACAAATATTACAGTTGCCATCCATAAAATGGCTCGTTACAACCTTATTTTTATTGTCTTAAAGGGATACTCCACCCAAAAAATGAAAATTCTGTCATCATTCACTCACCCTCAAGTTGTTGCAAACCTGTATGAGTTTCTTTCTTCTGCTGAACACAAAGGAAGATATTTTGAAGAACGATTGGAACTTTGGCACCATTGACTTCCATAATGTATGTCAATGGTGCCAAATAACCGTTTGGTTCCAATCGTTCTTCAAAATATCTTCCTTTGTGTTCAGCAGAAGAAAAAAACTCATGCAGGTTTGCAACAACTTGAGGGTGAGTAAATGATGACAGAATTGTCATTTTTGCGTGGAGCCCATAACCCCTACTGATTTGAAGACCACCAATCCAATCATCCCTAGATTAATTTTCACAATCTTTGAGTCGTGCACGTGAACATTATTGTCAAATGTAAATTGTAGCATATTCTTTATTCTAACATTACATAGCTTGCCCATGTACATCCGTTTGATCCTGATATTATACCCTACTTAGTCTTACATGGGATGTTTTGTCATCCAGGGAAGACCTAATGTCAATAATCAAGTATAAAGAAATATACGAAGTAAACATGTAATTATACCTAGACATTCAGAGGAGAAAAGAGAAAGGACTCAATTACTGATTTTGTGGGGTGTAACAGAAAAGTAATATAACGAGTTACTGTTGGCAGGGAGTAATTAGTTAAGTAACAATATTACTTTTGGAAAAAGTAACGAGTAATGATTTAGACTAACGAGCTCATCAACACTGGGGATGTCTACATGCAGGCATGCCTTAACATAGACTGAAAGAAGAAGGAATAAAAACAGAAAAGATTGATCTCTCTACAAGTCCCCTGATTCAACTGTCGATTTTCTGGCATTTTGCTTGATCACTTCAACTTCCCTTTGGTCCAGCTGCCCTCAAAAAGCTTTCATCCAGGTCGTAAATCCGCAATCTGCCTCGCCAGGTGTTGAAGCTGTCAAAACTTTGGTTGTGAAGGAATTTCATTGAGCAGTTTATTCAGATCTCACTCAAGCATACCTGCCCTCTCTCCCACACATGAGTTACAGTGATGTTTATAGACTACTGAATGAATTGTTCTTTTTCATTGATATATTTTTTTAGTGAATTTGTTGAACCAGTTTGCAAATACATTCTAAACTAAATGTATTATGCCTACGGAATCTGCCCATTGGACTGAACCGAGAACCATCTTTCTCATATTTGTTTCAGTGCATATTTTTCTATTAGTAGCCTATAGATTTATAAAAAATACATCCCAAAACGTTAGTAGCTGGTAATATGTTAAAAGTAATAAACAGTAATAATGTTCTACATATTGCTTTATTGGAACGTTTAGGATGTTTAGTAGTCTAATATGCCACGTGAAAAAAATAACCACTGTATCGATGATTATAACCGGTTCTTTGAAATTAGCTGTTCAAAAGAAAGATTTGCAGAAATGAGTTGTACTCTTCCCCCCTTCTTGCTGGTTCACATTCACAAAAGGTTAATCAAAACAACGAGGAGAGATTCATGAACGGAGGAGTTAACAGACCAACAATAAATGCATCTTCTATTCCATTAATAGCAGAATAACAGTAGATTGCAGAATAAATGACCGAACTGTGCGTGAGCCATAGCTATACTCGCCAGAAAAAGCAATGAATCAATTTAATTTCTAACTTGAACTATCCGTTTATTCTTTCTATTAAAATCTTGTCATTAGGCTACTTAATATGTCATGTGATGAGACTGACTTCTGAAATACATGACATTATTATTTACGTTTATTATTAATAGGCTATACTGATAGCCTATTATATTCATAAATTAATGTTTTATATTTTAAACTGTATAAGCTACGTCTTGTTAAACTATTACTTTTTTATGCTGTGGCTTTGTGCGTCCTCAAATGTTGACCATTTTAACCTTTTTACCACTTAGCCTTAATTTAACTCAGTATATTCAGTCTCTTGACAAATGCACGAGGAAACTGAACGACAATAAAAAAAGACGCCTCACCTTTTGCAGCAGAGATGCGGTTTAGTTGTTTTCTTCGTGGATGCACAGATTCTCAAAGTGCGGACTCGCGCGCGCTCATTTATCCTCAGATGCGCTATGGACCCGAGTGAGAGCGTGAGAGTTGTGTTTCCCGCTGGAGAGGCGGGGTCGTGTGTGTGTGTGTTTCAAGCGCCCTTTGCGTCCAATTATAATATGGTTAATTCTAGAGAGATTTTATTATTCCACTTTTCAATTCTGCACGTGTCACAGTCTCACTTCTCATTTCTATATCTCAGTTAGGGGCTGGCTAGCATTTATTCTCCAGCTTTAACTCGCTCTGGCCAGTCAGACTTACACTTTCTAAATGACAGAAACCTAAATGAAGAACAGATGAAATAGTGAATGTGAATAGTGAATGATTAATCTAGTTTAATTAAAATATGATAATATTGATTTCTGTTCCTGTTGTTAATTACCCTGTTTGAGTATCTTGTGAATCTATGTAAGCTCTGTTTTCCTACTTTCTCTGTCCGGTATTGTTTGCGTTTGTGTTGCAAGCGGTTGTTTGATTTCTTCTGCGATCTGAGTGTTCATTTTGGATTTGTTAAAGACTGTGTTTTGTTCCTATATACTCCTTCGTCGTGCGTCCCAGTATAGCTGCACAATGTTATGTAAATAGTATAAAAGCACATATTTTCTGTAGGCCTACATGCAGCAATGGCCAAGCAAATGTTATTGTGAGCAGTTACTAGTTTTGGATGTTCTGTGCTACTGGTCCCATGTAGTCAGGGTTAAGTATGTTTATCTGATAGTTTATTGGATGCAAACCCACGCAGTGCTCTTCCCTTCGACCAAATCTCCCCCAAGCTGAACATCAGTTCGAAGAAAGACTGAGAGGTGTGCTGAACTCAGTGGCTGAAAGAGTATAATTTAGATGAATACAGTATGTTTTCTTTGATCTTCACACTTGATCTCTTGTATGGTTCCTTTACTGCTATATATTTAATTCTGACAGTTCCACCGTTATCTTTGTTAGCAGTTCACAAGGTCAACGCATAATCACTGAGACTAAAAAGGGTTAGGTTTTTTTTTCTTATTTTCATTTCAGAAAGTTTTCTCTGTTGATGGTGTTCCCAGACTGATTGTTGAGGGGTACAATTTTGACTCAAGTATGCTAAAGCATAGCTTTCTACAGGTAGACCTTCCTGGAGTTTGTGGTCAGTGTATGAAGGCCTTGGGATTGGAACTCAAAGCAACTTTCACTTCACATTAAATACAGATGTGCTCCAGACCTTCACCATGCTAAATGTGGGAGGAAAGCAATCAATCACAGCATACAAACAACGGAGATGGTGGCTGTTGACTGAATTATTTCTACACTACAAACTCACAGCCTGCAAACCATTTAGGAGGAATCGGTTGCTTGGCATGCAAGGTGAAAATGGCTATTGATTTGAGTTTACGACTTTGTGATTTACACAAAAGATGGATGGACACTTGATGTGGAGAATGGTAACCGTGGTGACAAGCATATTCTGGTTTGCATGAGAGATCGTGGTGTTAAACTGTGTTCAGTTGCGTAGTTTAAGTAATATAAGCTGTGACATGAACATGTGCTACACAAAGATGTATATACCAATACACTCTCATGGCAATTTGTAACTATTTCACGTTGTATAAACATTTTAAAAAAACAAAAAATAATGAAAATGACAAACTCAAAATTACTAAAACTTTATATTGCTAAATGAAATCAAATTAAAAGGTAACCGTAAATTATCAAATAAACTAATTCAAAACATTAATGAAAATTATATTAGTATATTAATGCTAAATAATCATAAAAACCTAAAATAACACTGACATACTGTCAGATAGTAAATACTTAAAATGTAAAATAAAATACTTTACTTTAGGCTATACAGTACATGGGTTTAAGGTGTGAAAACACCAAGAACACAAACACATGCACATAAAAACTCCACACATTCAAAGACAATACAACTTTTTGGGCAACATGCTGTGTGAGTACAAATAACATTTTAATTGTGATCGTATTGTCATTAATTATAACCCTGGGAAAATATAATACACAGCCCATAAAGTAATATATTATTCTGCTCAGTGGGGTTCATTATTTCATATAAATACAGAAAATTAAATGCAGACACATACTGATGTGTAAGTGCAAGTGCAGAGACAGCTGTGAATAAATATTCATGCCCCTTCCACATAATCCTGACTCAACAAAGAGTCAGAGCTCACAGTTTTATACCCTTTGTTTATATTCATGGACGCCAGCAGTAGGAGTTCACAGATTTTCTCACTGTGCAGGCTGAGCTGCTGAATCAAGCTTACATGAGTCGAATAATGTCAGACTGAATGGATGTATCGATATACAGTGTGTCTCTTATAAAACAGACACTGGGTGCATCTAAAACAGCTCCCTAGTTCAGTAGTCGAGGCACTGAAACAGGGAGTCGGCCATTTTAAGGGCTGTCTTAATCGCAAAATCATTCCAGTGCACTGAAATGTTCGATCCCTATAAAATCTTGCAGTGCAATGTGAAAACTAGGGAGCATATATGTTCACTATGTTTCCTTAATGGAACTTGAAACATACATCACGCGAGCTATACACATTATGACGCGATAGATGTTTTGAAAAAACAAAACGTTATTTAATTATATTTCAGCATAAGCATACATAGCTGGACAGGTACCGAACATGCTGAAATGTTGCAGGTGTATATGTAACAATCAAAGTATTTATCAGAATGTAACAAAATAAATGTCAGAAAAATATCAGTTCTGCTGTTGTTCATAACCAGTGTTTGGGAAAGTAAAAGTAATGCGTTACAATATTGCATATACTTTCAATACAATTTACTTTATAAAAAACGAACTACTTGTGTTACTTAATTACTTTTTATGGAAAGTAATGTGTTACGCTCTTTTGCTGTACATTTTTACTCACCTCGGCTGGGCTTGCTGTTTTTTAATAGCAAAAAAGTTATATTTTTGACAAATGTAAAGCCCCTTTCACATCAAAAGTGAAATGAATAAGCCTCCGGTTGAAGGAAATGCAGATTCACGCCTATACAGTTCAACAGTCTTGCTTCAGCAATAAAAAAAAAAAAGAAGTGGTTTATCTAAATATTCTGAGTTGGCATTTCACTGCGTTTATACATTTTGAAGAATACTGAGGGTCTGTTTTTGTGCAAGTGAGATGAGTAAATGCCTGCTCAGTGCTCACATTTAGTCTAGAACTACAATAACCATCATGTTCACACAGCACACACAACGCCTCTGCACCTCACTCCTGATTTCTATCGGCATAGTGTCCGGTGTCACTCAGTAAATGGGAAAGCAAAGTTACTTGTAGTAAAACAAGTTTTAAAATTTTAAAAGTAATGCGTTACTTTACTAGTTACTTGAAAAAAGTAATCTGATTACATAACTCGTGTTACTTATGCGTTATCCTCAACACTGTTCATAAATACCATGTCACCATCAGTTTTCCAATGTGTAGTGAGCCAGGGTTCTCCGATTTCGTGTACATATTATACTGATTCAAGATGTAGAGAGCTAGAGAGCTGATTGAGACTGTTACCAAGGCTTTTCACACTTACAGTATATGTAGCTGTGATTAGTTTCTGCATTAGAAGTTAAAAGATCTCAGATACAGAGGGAGAAAAACTGTCATTAGTCTGGTAGGCAATCAGCATCTTTGCAAGACCAATGCATTAATACTTAGCAGAGAGGAGGACAAGGCATCTATTAACTTTGTTCATGTTAATCTCTGGAAAATTATAAATGGCGTATGTATGACACGCCAATTCGTATTTCCATTTTTGGCGTGCTATCAACACGAATAATCGCTTTTCAGCGTGTTTATCAACGCCTTTGACTTAACGTTATATTACTGTATTATGTATATATAAATATATGACCTACCCCAACCCCGTCCCTAAACCTACCCGTCACTGGGGTTAAAAGCATTTATGAGTCTTCTCCTACCATCCTAGGAAAAGAAATATCGCTCCACAGATGTAGATATAGATTTTGCTTCGTTTCGCTCGGACATTTAACGGCGTACACATACACGCGGAATCACTCGGACGTTTAATGGGCGTAGACATACACGCAAAAGATTTCGGCGTGGACATACACGCGGATAGCTCAAAATGCGTATAAATAACACGCCACTTGACTTGAAAGTGGCGTGTATGTTTACGCAAAGTCATGATGTCATGTTGTATAGTAGCTACAATTTTATATCCCTAGCAAATTACTAGTTTTACCAGTATGTTAATGGTGTTCAGCATAATATTGAATATGGTGCATTTATTTGATCAAAAATACAGAAAAACTACTAACTGTAGGGATGTGCACAAGTACTAGTACTCGGACATGACACAGACGATCAATCATGAAAACGATGATCGCCGTGACTTGAAAAAATATATACAATTTTTTTTTTATCATGAAAATAAAGTTAAGTGCAAGATGTGCCACGCCAACCTGCCAACTACATAATATTATAATGAGAACACTATTGAAATAGAATGTTGTAAATTCTTTGTGCTTTAGTGTCACGTGTTTCAGCGTTGTTGTTACAGGAAGAGAATCCACAATGGGAGTTACACATTCAGACAAGCATGGTCCAGTTCACATGCGCATTCAGGTCCTTTTGTGCAGAAGTTGTAATTTTACTTTGATGTTCTATATCAGATTAATCTCATATAGGATGCGTTTGGTTGAGTTTATTTACACGCTAGCAAAGCGCTTCAGTTTACCAGTGTTCATCCACACTTCAGCGGCTGCTCAAATGGCAATGCACGACATTATTGACGGTTTTTGAGACAGTCATATTCCTTTTAGATGTTTCTTTTTCAAAAACATTGATATTATTAATAATCTAGCAGTGTTATTTTTTTCTAGTCATATTATTCACAGTAGGCCTAAGCGCCTCGATCGGGCAGGGCTTATATACTCCGAGAGCGGACACTGACCGGCGTGATGACTATGGAACTGGATAAATATTCTGAATGTTCTGATCCAATCTGACTTCTGACCTGTAATGCTGCCTGAATCTAATCATACACTGTTCCTTCGTTGGC